GCTTTCTGGAGTTATTGAAATTGCTTAAGTTGAAACACACAATAGTTTCTACAATCTAAGTACAAATAATGAGGTGAATAAAGCAAAAGAAAACTTAAAAAAAGCAGGAGCCACTATATTACTGTGACATAAAATAAACTTCAAAGCAAAGATAATTATCTGGGACAGTGAGAGACATTATGTAATGATTAGAGAGTCAATGCATCAAAGACATGTCAGGGGCCGGCCCAGTGGTGCAGCGGTTAAGTGCACATGTTCCGCTTTGGCGGCCCAGGGTTTGCCGGTTCAGATCCCAGGTGCAGACATGGCACCGCTTGTCAAGCCATGCTGTGGTAGGCATCCCATATATAAAGTAGAGGAAGATGGGCATGGATGTTAGCTCAGGGCTAATCTTCCTCCAAAAAAAAGAAGAAGACATATCAGTTCTAAACGTGCATTCATCAAGCAACAGAGCTACCATATATGTGGAACAAACACTAAGAGAACTGAAATGAAAAATAGACAAATCCACAATTATAGTTGAAGACTCTCTCTCTACAATTAATAGAATAAGTTGAGAGACAGTCAGCGAGGAAATAGAAGAACTCTACCACATCATTAACCAACAGGATCTAATCAATGTTTAGAGAACACTCCATCCAAAACAACAGAATACACATTCCTTTCAAATGCCTTTGGAACATACACCAACATAGAGCATAGCCTGGACCACAAAAAAAAAAAAAAAACCTTAACAAATATAAAAGAATTGTAATCATACAGAGTATGTTTTCTGACCACAATGAAATAAAACTAGAAAAAAGAAAGACAACAGGAAAATCTTCAAACATTTGGAAACTAAAAAACACACTTCTAAATAATCCATGGGTGAAAGAAGAAATCTTAAAGGAAATTAGAAAACATATTAAACTGAGTGAAAATGAAAATACAACACATAAAAATTCATGAGACACAGCTAAAGCAGTGCCAAGAGGGAAATTTCTGGAACCCAATGCTTACATTAGAAAAAAGGAAAAATTGCTAGTCAATAAATTAAGCTCCCTCCTCCAGAAACTAGAAGAAAAAAGCAGCAAAATAAGCTGAAAGCAAGTAGAAGGAAGAAAATAATATGAGTAAGAGCAGATATCTATGAAATTGAAAATAGTAATATAATAAAGAAAATCAATGAAGCAAAAAGCTAGTTCTTTGGAAATATCGGTAAGATTGCCAAACCTCTAACAAGATTGACAAAGAAAAAAGAGAAAAGACAAGAATTACCAACATTAGAAATGAAACATGGGTTGCCACAATGTGCCCCACATTCATCTAAAGGATAATAAGAGGATACTATTAACAACTCTACACACATACATTTGATAAATGAAATTTATTAAGTACTCCAAAAACACAAACTACTAAACCTTACTTACAATTTGCCCAATCTGAAATAGATAATTTGAACATCCCTATACTATCAAATTAATTCAATTCACATTTGAAAACTCCTTAAAAAGATATCTCCAGGTTCAGATGGCTTCATTAGAGAATTCTAGCAAATTTTAAAGAAGATTTAACACCAATTCTGCACAATCTCTTCCAGTAAATAAAAAAAGAGGGAATATTTCCCAATTCATTCTATGAATGAAGCCAGTATTACCTGGATACCTGTAAAGGAAAAGTACACTCTTGTGTATCTCTCCTTTAGTCCCACACTACTGCCACACTCACAACATTTCTGACACCAGGTGTGTGGGTTTACCACATATCAAGAAATTCTCTGACATCAGCTTTGTGACCTACAACTGAACTCAATTCTGACACTATATACTTGGAGATAGTTGCTAGAATGGCCAACAGAGCTCAGGGAAACACTTACATTTATTGGTTTATTATAAAAAGCTATGATAAAGGATACAGATGAACATCCAGATGGAAGAGATTTGCAGGGCAAGTTATGTCATAGGAAGGGGCACAGAGTTTCCATGCCCTCACCAGGTGCACCACCCTTCCAGTACTTTCATGTCTTCAGCAGCCCAGAAACTCTCAAACCCTAACTATTGGTATTTTTATGAAGACTTCGTCACATAGACATGATAGATCATTAACTCCATTTCCAGCCTCTCTCCTCTCTCTGGAGAACAGGGGATGAGGCTGAAAGTTCCAAGCTTCTGGTCATGGCTTGGTTTTTAGGGTGACTAGCCCCCATCCAGGAGCCCACTAAGAGTCACCTCACGTGAACAAAAGACACTCCTATCAACTAGGAAATTCCAAGGGATTTAGGAGCTCTGTGTCAGGAACTGGAATCAAAAACCAAATATTAGAAAAAAAGATGCTCCCAGTGTTCTTACCACTTAGGAAATTACCTCGGTTGCAGAAGCTCTTTGCCAGAAACTGGGGGGCAGAGACCAACATGTATTTTTTATTATTTTATATTACCAAAGCCATGCAAAGACAGTACAAAAAGAGAAAATTATAGACCAATATCCCTAATGAAGACAGACATGCAAATCATTGAAAAAATAACAGAATTCAGCAATATGTAAAAATAATTACATACTATGAGCAAGTACTGTTTATTTCGGATACTCAAGGTTGGTTCAATATTAAAAAAAATCATTATAATCCACATTAACAGGCTGAAGGAAAAATATCATATGATCATAGCAATTGTTGCAGAAACAATATTTGACAAAATTCAATGTCATTTATGATAATATTTCTGAACAAGTTAAGAATAGAGGGGACTATCTTCAAATTGATAAAGACCATCTGTTGCTAACATCAAACTTAGTGGTGAAAGACTGAATACTTCCCCCTAAGACTGGGGATAAGGCAAGGATGTCCACTCTCATCACTGCCATTTAACATAGTACCAGAAGCTCTAACCACTGCAATAAGGTAAGAAAAGGAAATATAAGGCATACAGATCAGAAAGGAAGAAATAAAACTTCTCAAACAACATGATCGTTTATGTCGAAAATCCCAAGACATCTCAAAAAAAACCTTCTAAAACTAATAAGTGAATTCAGCCACATTGTAGGTTTCACAATCAACATACAAAGTAAATCACATTTATATATACTAGCAATGAACATATGGAAGTGAAAATTAGAAATACCGTCCCATACACAAATGCTAAAAAAAAAAAAAAGGAAATATTTAAGTGCAAATCTAACAAAACATACACAGGATTTCTATGCTGAAAGCTGAAAAATGGTTATGAAAGAAATCAAAGAAAATCTAAACATATGGTGTGACATACTCTTTTCACAAATTGAAAGGCTCAACATAATAATAGATGTTAATTCCTATCCAAATCCCAGCCAGGCTTTTTTGTAGACATAGACAAGTTTATTGTAAAATTTATATGAATAGGTCCAGGTCCTAGAATATCTAAAATAATTCCGAAAAAGGAGAATAAAGTGAGAAAGAGAAATCACTACCTGATTTCAAGACCTACAAAATAGCTACAGTGTTCAAGACTGGGTGGTATTGGAGGACAAATAGACATATAAATCAATAGAGCAGAATAGAGAGCTCAATAGGTCAACTGTAAAACTGTAAAACTTTTAGAAAAAGACGTAGGAGAAAATTTTGAGGACATGGGATTTGGTGAAGAGTTGTTAGACTGGACATCAAAAGTATAACCAATAAAAGAAAAAATTGATAAATAGGACTTTATCAAAATTAAAAACTTTGATCAGTGAGAGACTCTGTCAAAAGGATAAGCAACAAGGTTCAGTTAGATGAAAATATTTGCAAACCACGTATTTGACAAATGAAGGGTATCTAGCATATAAAAATAACCCCTAAAACTCAAGAGCAAATAAATCAAACAATTCAATTACCAAATGGGCAAAAGATTTGAAAAGACATTTCAGTGAAGGAGATATTGGAATGGCAAATAAGCACATGAGAAGATGTTCAACATTGTTAGCTATTAGGGAAATATAAATTAAGACAGTGAGATGTCACTACACACTTATTAGAACAGCTAAAATAGAAAATAATGACAATACCAACTGCTGGCAAGGATGTGGAGAAACCAAATCTCTCATACGTTGCTGGTGGAAATGCAAAATGGTAGGGCCACTCTAGAAAGCAGTTTGGTAATTTCTTAAAAACCTAAATATACAAACCATAGACTCAATAACCAAACTTCTTGGCTTTTCCCAGAGATATGAAAATGCATGTCCACACAAAAATCTGTTCATGATTCTACATAGCAGCTTTATGTGTAATAACCCCAAACTGGAAAAAAACAGAACGTCCTACTCTGGGTGAATGGTCAAACAAGCTGTGGTACACCCTCAGCAATAAAAAGGAACTACTGATATACCCAACAACTTGGATGGATCTGAAGGGCATCATGCTGAGTGAAAAAAATACATATATCAAAAAGTTATACACTGTATGATTCCGTTTATATAACTTTCTGTCAAAAGTATAGGGATAGAGAAATAGTGATCTGCAGGGGTTACACGTGGTGGGGGGAGGGGCTGGGTGCGACTATAAAGGGGTAGGAGGAGGGAGATCTTTGTGGTGATAGAAAAGTTTTCTATCTTGATTTTGGTGCTGGTTACAGGACTTTACACTTGGGATAAAATGACACAGACCTATACACACACATTGCGCGTTTGTCAAATACCTGGTTTTGATTTGTACCATAGTTAAGTAAGTGTAATCAATGGGAGAAGCTAGGCGAAGAATACACGGGACGTCTCTGTACTATCTTTGCAATTTCCTGTGTGCTATAATTATTTTTTTAATACAGAAAAAAATTAAAAATAAATTCTATTTTGCATTGGCTACCTGTGATCCACATTATTTCGTAGGAGGAGAAACCGTGAGACTGCGGAAAACCCCAATACTCAATTTTACACAGAAGCATAACCCGGGGAACGAGCAAGGCGCTGGGCGGCAGAGTGGGGACCGCAGGTTCCCTCCCGCCGAGCGCACGGGAGGCGGAGTCGGCGCCGCGGAGCCCGAGGTGAGCGCGCGCGGCCGAGTTCCAGCCCCGCCCTCGCCGCGCGGAGCTGGGGTGGTGCCCGCCCCGCGCGGCCACCCGGCTGGGGAGCCAGAGGCGCGAGTACGCTCTCGCAGCGCTCCGGGCTCCGGACAGCCGCAGCGCTCGCCTTGGAGAAGTGCCAAAGAAGAACTTTCTTTGCGCTGCAAACATTCTTGGTGAATGGGATAGTCTCCCTCTTTGGCCTCCCGCCTTTTGATTGTGGGTTTGATCCCTGCGCTGCTTTCCTTCTCCCGAACCTCCCGGGGTGCAGCCGGGAGCCCTCCCGCGCACCCGAGTCCGGAGCACAGCTGTCCCGGCCTCCGAGGGAGAGAGGCGGCCGCCGCGCTGGTCCCCCCGCGGCCCGCGCCCCGCCGCGCAGGAGTCCGCGTCCCGGGCGGTGGTTGCGGGGCGGTAGCGGGCGGTGCCTGGGGCTCGGGGCGCGCGTGGCATGCAGTCGCTCAACATCACCCCGGAGCAGTTCTCCCGGCTGCTGCGGGACCACAACCTGACGCGGGAGCAGTTCATCGCGCTGTACCGGCTGCGGCCGCTCGTCTACACCCCGGAACTGCCTGGGCGCGCCAAGCTGGCCTTCGTGCTTACCGGCGTGCTCATCTTTGCCCTGGCACTCTTTGGCAACGCGCTGGTGGTCTACGTGGTGACCCGCAGCAAAGCCATGCGCACCGTCACCAACATCTTCATCTGCTCCTTGGCGCTCAGCGACCTGCTCATCGCCTTCTTCTGCATCCCGGTCACTATGCTCCAGAACATCTCTGACAACTGGCTGGGAGGTGAGTCCGCGCCTGCTCCTTCTCTCCTAATCCTCGGGCTTCCAGGGGACACTGACCTCCCACCCCCCACTCACCGCCACCACCACACACACTATTCTTCTGACTTCTTACATTTCTCTCTGTACCAAATGAATCCAGTGCCCTTTCTCAGAACTTCCTCGCCTGCGCTCACTCGGAGATAAGTTTTTGGCCGCTTTTGATTCGGTGCAGCGTTTTTTCTCCCTGTCCTTTAGAGATGCGGGTTACGGAAGAGCTTGGGAAAGGTTCAGGCAGTGAGATGGGGGTCGGACTGCTCTCCGGTTATTTCAGCTCCCTTTTCCATAATTACCAGAATTTTTTTCTATTTTTAAAAATAAAAGTAAGGTAAAATTATTTCAAATAATAAAAACCGCAACATCCGCTCATTCCCCTAATCTCCAGGCTCGGTCCCCAGTTGCCCGTATGGCTTCCAGACAGGTACTTGTAGTTCAAGTATATACATGGACTTAAAACTTCTTAAAAACAAACATACATTTGCAGAAAAAATATCATGGACTAGTCCTTCTTTTTAAAAGTTGGATTAACAGAGTCACACAGGGAGAAGGAGCACCGAAAACATATCCCCTCCTGACTGATAAAGGAGGAGAGACTCGTTTCTCCTTCGTCCTTAGAAGAGGGGCGGAGAAGCGTTCGGAATCACGGAGTTGGAAGCAGTGTGTGGAGGTTGGGAAGAAATAGACACTGCACGTCCCAGATGAGCCAGTCTTTCCAAAGAGAAACAGCTCGAGAGTGCGTCCTTGTAACCCACATGCAGCAATGCGTTGTTTTCTCAGTCTTATGGTGTACCTGGGGAGGAAGCGTTGGTTGTATCTGCATTTTTATGGGTGGGTGTATTCTTGTGGCCACATCAAAATTCTTAGAAAGTAGTTGGAAATACAGAGAGAATGTGAGAGAAATGGATCATTTTACTTCAAGCCCTGGCATTTCCACCCCTTTGCTAATTCCTTTTAATCTCATGGGGGGTGTTTCTTTCATCCCATCTTTACCAATTTGAGATCTTCGATTTATTTCTCTGGCTTTGTTTTTTTCCATTAATTCGCACTAGGCTTTTTGTTAGTGGATCAGGATGCTAAAATCTTTGATTCTCATCTCACCTATAACATAAATATTTCCAAAAATGTATTAAACATTAGAATACATAGCATTGACTTAAAGTGACACACGATGCAGAAAGTTAAGTTGATTTATGGATTATAGACTCTGCTATGCACTCTGATGAAATCGTTGTACAGAGGCATTTTAAAGTTGCCCAGTACAGCTAACACCATAAAATTAATGGGAAGGGGGCCCACCCGGTGGTGTAGTGGTTAAGTTCGTGGACTCTGCTTGGGCAGCCCCGGGTTCCTGGGTTCCCATCCTTGGCCGCAGATCTACACACTGCTCCTCAAGCCATGCTGTGGTGGCATCCCACACAGAAGAGCTAGAAGGACTTGTAACTAGTATATACAGCTACGTACTGGGGCTTTGGAAATAAATAAATAAATAAATAAAAGAGGAAGGTTGGCAACAGATGTTAGCTCAGGGCCAATCTTCCTCACCAAAAAAAAAAATAATAATAATGGGGAAACTTGCTCATCATCTATAAATTATTTTTGGAGAAAAAGGGCACAGGAGTTTTCATTTCTAAATGTTTGTGAAGTCAGATTTATGAAGCATGTTTGTATTTCTGGGTAATTATAGCTCCATTTGTAAAGGTAAACATATTTAAGCTAAGGGGGGGTCTTATACTGAGAATAGTAAGACCCGAATTACTACTTTTACTCTAATACGTGTTAATTCAACATACCTGGGCCTCCGTTTTTCAATTAAATATTAGGGGTTCTAGGAGCTTGGGAGTGGAATAAGGCAGATCTTCAGCCCCTAGCCGTGTTGGAGAGTGACGCCTGGGGAACACTGCCTGGCGGTTCTTCCCTCCTGAGGACTTAGGTAGGCCTTTCTCAGACTTTCTGCTTTCCTTGCTTCCTAGTTCATGAAGGACATTTCACTTGAGCTTCGAACTGCTGAAAAAGGGTAAAAGGTTGCTTGTGTATTTTACAGGGTTAGTGTGAGGATAAAGTGTATTAGTAAAAATGCTTTGAAAAAAATTGACTATTCCATGAAAATGTAAAGTATTAATTCTATGAAGGAGTGTTTAATTGGAGGTGGCTTATGTTTATCTGGGACCAGATTTACAGAATTAACATTCTTGTAAATCAAGTAACAGCAAAATGGAACTTCAGGGAAGGGGAGGGCTTGCAGAGGACGGGAGATAGTGACGTAAGGAGAATTGATTTGTACCTTATCGGATAGGATGGTCATTGCAAAAGTCCCTTTTAAATTAACGAAAGAGAGTTCAGGGATTGTAATCTAAGAGTTGAACATTAATTCACAATTAATTATTTCTTGAAGCTGTTGAAGATCCCCTTTATTGCAAAGCATTCTACCTTGGGAATACAAAAATGAATAAAGCTCGTCTGTGCTTTTGTGGGCCTCAGAGAATAGGAAATACCCCAAATGAGCAAACATAGGATTTGATAGAAGAGGATTCGCTCTGCTGTGGGGTCACGGAAGAGTCAGAAAGGCTTTACCGAGGCGGGGATGTGCGGGCTTGATCTTGAAGAATAATTCAGGCTGTTTCCAGCAGGGAAAGAAGGATGAGGTGTGCTCTAGGAGCAGGGGTCAACCCAAAGTTTGGAGGAAAAGAAGGTGTGTATTCCAAAAATACAGTGTAAGCCATTTCAAGAATATACGGTTTATATGCGGGATGGTGGGAAATGAGACAGAAAGGTAGGTTAGTGCAACTAGGGAGGAACAAGCATAGTGTAAGATATTTAAAACCTAAAATATGAATACCCCTCAAATTCCTTCAGAGATGAGGTAGGAAATATAAAGCAGTGAAGACCACCAGGAGCCAACAGTGGCGGAAGAGACATTCTGTGCCCCCCTAGAGGGGGCAGGATGCCTTGTCACATCTTCTGTCGTCGTTGTTATTGCTTTTATTATTTTTTTTCAGAGAAGCTGGGAATACATATTTTTATGATATTGACATTTAATTCACATTTAAAAAGTAAAATACAATTGGGTGAAAGAAAACCTCTCTGTGGGTTTGGCCACAAATAATTCTTGGACCTCCAGTTTGTGCCTTCTCCACAAAGCCTCTGTCTCAAACATTTCTGACAATGGCGGGGCTGGGAGGGACTGGTTTTTCTTCCTCTCAGTCCTCTCATCTCCTTCGCTAGGGACCAACAGCACCTGAGTTAGAACCTGCGTTTTTGACAAGATCCACAGGTGGTTCATATGCACATGAAAGTCTGAAAAGCACTGCTTCAAATAATGGTTCTCAGACCTGGCTGCACAGAGGGTCTCCTGAGGGCCTTTACAAATGATGTCTGCCAGCCACAGTCCAGACTAGTTACCTCTGACTCTACTGCACTGACTTCCGGAGCCCACTGTGCACATCTCTATCCAGTTCCCCATTCAAGGACATGTTGTTGGCTTGAAATCGGTCATGGCAGGAGTATTTACATGTGGAAATCGGCAGCTACAAATTAGACCTTTAAAAAAACACACACAGTTGTTTTCCAGCATGCCACTGAGGAAAGACGTTGGGTTTCCTTTTGTGCAGTGATGACACCATGAATGACAGGTGAGACAAAGTGTATTCGTAATCATTTAGTGTGTTTACATGAATTACACTCAGTCAGGAGATACAGCTGGTCATCAGCATCTAGGTGTTGGCCAGCATTGAGCCAAGCTGGTGGACGATCCCTTTTATATACTTCCATTACCATCTTAATGTCAACCGACTTTGGTCTGCCGATTGCCTCGCTCACACACTGCTCCCCAGAACTTCTTCCAGCATGGAGCTAGCAGGAGCGGGGATTCTCTTCCCCCAGGAATAAAAAATAGCATTTGCTTATGATTTTTCTTTTATCACTAATATGAAGATGGGGTTGTGTTGCCATAGCGAATAAGGGTTGGTCCTTGGAAGTTCCATCTCCATCCTTACTCTCTGATCTGTTTGGTCAGATTCCAGCAGTGAACTTGCCCATTGCGCTGTTGGTGCCACGGAATTTACCGAGCCTTATCTACAGCCTGTTCCTCCTCAATTGTCTCTTTCTTCTTCCTCCTTTTATCTCTTTCTTCACAATATCTGAATGTTCCTCCAAATTCACTGACTGAACATGTTCTGTTTTTTCCAACTAAATTCAGTACAATAAGATTTTGCTTCTGAACAATGTTCCGGAACATTTTGCTCTCTTCTCTAGGTTTCCATGAATTTCTCTTTTCCTTCTTTTCTTTCTGTCTCTGTCTCTTTCTTTATGTTGTGCATTTTGATAGTTCTCACACTTCCTGTTATTTTTGGTGTGGGCCAGTGAAGCCCGGGATGCAGTCTCTTCTCTCTCATCATTCGTTTCTGTGTAGTGGCTACAGTCAGGACTCGCACTTTTTTGATGATGATTCCCAAATCAGTATCTAGTCATCATCTTAAGCTGTAGTCTCTCACCTGATCTGAAACCTAAGCATTTACACATGGATGTCTTATCAGCATCCAGCTTTCTCTCGTCCTATCTTGTCCCTCTGCCCAACATCTAAATTATTATTAATAGTACCATGAGTTGTTCTTGTATTCAGTATTTCCTGAGCATCGCTGTGTGCACTGGGATATTGTAGGTATTGAGAAAGCTGTGTCCTTGTGGAATATCCAGGTTTCAGTTAGTGCAAGAGGGGAAGGAAGCATTCAAAGAAAAGATGGAGAGTGCGGTGGATATTGTTGTTGTTAGGGTTCTGGAGTGCACAGTGGAGAAAGCACACTGGAAGTGTTGGGGAGGAGGGAGCTTGAGTCAGAATGGGGGATGTTCAGAGACTGGATTGGGTCCAGGAGTGAGGGATGGGGAAAATGGAACTCATAGTGACTCAGGTAAATGTGAATCTACAGCATGGGGGGATTAAGTTTGAAGACCTCCCAGAAGGAGGTAGAA